CCTCCGCCCCCCCCCCCCCACGCGATGGAATGGGCCGGTCCGGGGGCTCCGCTCAAGTTCATTCATAGACACAAGGACAAACTTCTTCTTAAAGGAGCCGCGTCCTTCTTTTTATCCCCTCTCTGCTCCGCTTTCTGGCGGGGAGCGGGCCCGCAGGGGCAGAGCTCGGAGCCTCCTGGAAGCCTCCTCCGCCCGGGCTGGGCTCCCGCAGGCCCCTAAGGCTTGGCAGAGCGGGGTTGCAGGCCTGGATCCCAGGGGCAAGGGGAGAAGGGGTTGCACTGGGGAGATTAGCTGTTGCTCCCTTGCCCCCTGCGCCCGCCGGTGCCTTGGCTAAGCACCAGCCTGGGCGCTCATACCCCCTTGCTCCCCCCAGCTTAGAGACCCAGCGCCTCCTGGGCTGCTTTCTCAGCCCCCCGGAGCCTTGTAGCAAGTGGGGAAGTATCCTGGGCTCCCCACGAGGCTTTCCCCAGCCTGCTCTGGGCTCCAGGGATCCACTGCGGGTCCCTCCCTGCCGCACTGCTTCAATTTGTGCGGCTGCCTCGCATCCAGGAGCGGGGGAGCAAAGAGCCTCAGCGGCCAGGAGCTTGGAAATAGCCTGATCTCTGGGCCCAGGCAGTAGCAGACCCATGCTGCGAGGAGGAAACATAGGGCGGAAAGTAGGATGATGTTGTTCCTACCCACAAGGTCGGTTCAACACTGGAAGGACTGACTGGGAGGCTGGCATCTCCAGCACTGCGAGCTTTTTCCGAGCAGGGCTTGGGAAGCTCGGGCAGGGGGTTTGCTACAGGTCACTTCCAGCCCTGCCTTTGTTAGGATCCTGCCTGCCGCCTGCTCTGTTCTGATTTGGCTCCTGTTTGCCCAGGCTTCGTCTCCTGCTGCACGTACAGGCACAGCTGAAGCTTCAGCTTGGTGGCAGGATCAGTTGCAGAAAGATTTGGGGGCAGCTTGCCTCTGTACCAGCCCCAGCAGCTTGCTGTCGCCCCTCCCCAAGGGAGCCCCAACTGGGAAGAGTGGATACAAATGGGGAAAGAGGGGCGCAGACTTGCATCGGTGGGCTGAGGATTTGCACATGCATTTCATCAGCTCTGAGATTTAACCCGATCATGCGAGCAGGTGGACGCCAGGCTGTGCCGTGGGCACCCCACGCTGCTCTCAGCTATAGATCTGGAAGCACTGAGCCTGCATATTTGGATGCTTGTTCTTCGTTTAAGTTGGCAGAGCGACGCGGTGCAGCCTGTGGGGCCGTGACTGGGGGGCATTATCTGGCGGTTCCAAAGCCTTTGTTCAGAGTAATAACGCCGCTTGTTTGGGGTAGATCCTGGATCTTCATCTCTCTCCACACCCGAAATGGGGAGGGAATGAAGAGCGTTGGGCAGCGATCGGGTGGCAGGCTGGGTTAAGTTCAGCGGGGGATCGGTGCCATCTGTATTGCAGCCTGCTCTGTGCTCCCCTGGATTGGCATGGGCGGGTGTCCGATGAGTAGAGCTGATCACTGAGCACGGCAGGCAGGAAGGTCTAGTGGTAATGATGGGATTGTGAGAGGAGAGGACAGGGTGCGATGGCTCCAGGGTCCTTCCTGTGTTCCTACACGAGCTGTTTAGAAGCCCTGTGTCTTGCCCTGGGCTAGTAGATCCACATTTGGTGTGTCCACAATCATAATACAGTGTTTGGGGCTTGGGGCCTTGGTAAAGGAGCCCTTTTGGCACCTCTTTGCCTTGATAGTCCCTTGATAGTGGGGTCCGGAGGGCTGTGGTTATCCCACTTGGTTGCACATGAACTTGGGGGGGGGATGGGGCGGGGGTGGCAGAGGTGAAGGGGATAGCAGCTGGTCCATCTGCTCCCAGGTAACTGAGCTGCTGGCTTTTGCTCTCCTTGCAGAAGGAAAGCAACGGGAAGCTCTCCGTTTGCAGCAAGCTCTGCTATGCCATCGGCGGCGCTCCCTACCAGATCACCGGCTGTGCTCTGGGCTTCTTCCTCCAGATCTACCTGCTGGATGTGGCACAGGTAACCCTTCCTCATGGGTTTGCTTGCTGGGGGTGGGGATCTCAAGGGATGTCTCTGAAGACAGGTGGAGGCATCTTTTTTTCCATGCGTTTCTCGTGCCTTCACCAGCTGGCAGGAAGGCTGGGGGGTGTTAGTCTCTTGTCCGTGTTGAGGGGGCCCTAGCTGGCCTTCTGTTTGCCCATCAGGCCGACAGCGGCTTGGTACAAAGCAGGGCAGTGGATGCCTAGAGAGGGGCCACCACTGACATCTGGCTATACCTGATGCGCTCCCCATCTTCCAGGGAGTGGTGTTGGGGACACGGGTGTCTCTCTGGAGGAGGACGTGGCTCTCATCTCCTGCCTGCCGGGAAGGAGGGAGGTGGTGTGCTGGGAGATGGAAGTGTGGGCTGCCCTTGGTTTCTAGGAGCTCGCTGCTGAGTCACAAACCCCTGAAGGGCATTGCCACTCCGTAACGCTCAGGGTTACATGAGCCAGGCTGTGGTGGACCTTGTTGTGAAACTCTCGAGGAGGACTCTGAAGGGAGTGGGGGAAGAGATGTCCCTCGACAGAGAGAGGTCTCAATGTCACGGTCCTCGTGTTCGGTGCCTGAGATTGTACCCATCTGCCCCCGCCCCTTTGATCGTGTAACTGGGCCATACTTGGCAAGTCGGCACTTCCACAAACACTCCTGGATTTCCCTGGGAATCGTGTTCAGCACCCCTGGGAAAGTGACCTTCAGGTCCCCAGGAGGGGTGTAGGTGCTGGGCTTCCAGCATTCAAGACCAGAAACCCCAGCTGGTGTTTTCAAGGTGCTGGTAATTCGCCCTCCAGGAGAGAGATGTGCTTCTGATGCGATTTAGAGCTGAGCTGGCAGCACTTAGCCCTGGCTTCCAAAGTCTCCTGGGTTGCATTCCCAGCTGTGCAAAGCTTTTCACTGCTCTGCACCTCGGTTTCCCTACCTGTAAAATGGAACAATACTGACCCACCTCTGGGACTGGTTTAGGATCCTCTAATGACCGTGCAGATGAGGAGGGTGGTCCTCTAGGACCTCTGGTGATCGTGAAACCAGCAGCAGGTGCTTGCATTTGTTCCTACAAGTACTGCGATGAGGGAAAGATGGTTCTCACTGGTCTTGGCTGTGTAGTACCTTCTGGGAGGAGATGGGGTGGAAGGGACTATGTTGGACAAGGTGACAGCATCTCCCCCACCTATGGTCCAGCTGTGGTTGGTGGCAGGGTAGGTGATGAGTGAGAGCAGGGGTAAGCTGAGGCTGCATGCTGGGGATGTTGAGCTGATAGTCATTTCAGTGTCAGGAGTCTAATGTGCAAGGGATCGAGTGGAGCAGTCTGAAATCCTGCCGCCAGCAGCACTCGATTTAACCCCCTAGAAAAGGGCATCAGATGGACAAGTTGCCCTCTGAGCTGCCCCAGGGAGAGGCATGAGCATGTCCTCCCAACAATGCAAGTCTTGACCTGACCATTGGCTCTTCGGTGGCAGCATTTGCCCAGGCAGACGAGGACCTGGCCCGCTCTGGGAAGGGTCTCCACCTTCTCTACAGCTGAATTCTTTCCTCTCCTCCCCATTGTAGCTGGATCCTTTCTATGCCTCCATCATCCTGTTCGTGGGCCGGGCATGGGATGCCGTCACAGACCCCATGGTGGGCTTCTTCATCAGTAAGACCTCCTGGACACGCTTTGGACGCCTCATGCCCTGGTAAGAGAAGCCAGAGGGACTCTGGGGTTGTTTGGGCTCCATGGGGGGGTTCTGGAGGCCTTCCTGGAGGCAACTTAGGCAAGGTCAGGCAGTGACCAAGACAGGAATAGCTCCCGAAGCCACACCTCTGTGCAGAACGTGATGAAACGAGTATAGCTGCCAGTTGAGTAATCCACAGGTGGCCCATCCGGCTGCACAAGACCTCGGAGTGATGTAAAGGACCCTTGAGACCAGTGGGGAACTCTGTTAAGCGGGACTTCCTCAGCCTCTGCGGTAGCGGGGAAACCACTTGGTGTGGAGCTCAGTGAACCAAGTCACTGAGAGCGCAATGGGCCTTGCTTTCTGGGAAGCTGGCCTCATGCAGCTGAGCGAGCAGCACCGGCGTCCGTTGTGCCGTGTGTCTGGGGCGTGAAGGCTGGCGCTCTTTGGCACTGAAAGATAAGGGAGCCTGTTTGCAACGGTGGGCATGCTGCCCTGCTAGGGGAAGGTTTCTAGCAACCCCTTTCATCCCCAGTCTGTTAATCTAGAGGTGTTTGCTTCTCCCAGGCTCCACTGGGGGCCATGGTTAGCTCAGCACCTTGGCCCTTGTAGCACTTGGGGTCTGACTTCTCTCGTCTATATGGCAGTATTTGCTAGGGCAAGCGTTCGAGCACCGTGTGCGCCAGGCCTCTAGACTAGGGGCAGTGGGGTCCCAGTCAGGGCTCAGGACCCCGTTGTGCCAGGTCCCAGGAAAGCTCGGGGAGGAGGGAAGACTCCTAGCTGCTCTTGTTGCCTGGGGAGGTGCAGACTGGGCTGGGGGGAGCTGTGAGACATGGAAGCTGGGCAGGGGACTGGGTCTGTGGGGTGTCCCCAGTCTGAGCTCCCCTGGCAGTTTCCTGTATCTCCACCCACCCGGGGAAGGGAGGTCATGTATCTGCATGGAAGGCAGCTCCCAAAAGCTTCTGGCTGTGGAAAATGGTGGCTCAGATGCTCTGCTGTTTGCAGACCTGCTTGGCTCATCCACATGGTGCTGAAAGCCCCTGACAGTGATCTGTGGGCCTCTAGGCTCTTCTCTTGCCCATGGGGCTGAAGCAGCCGTGGCAGGGGGTGCTTTGAAGCGCAGTTTTGGTGCGTGCATCCCTTGGCAGCCTGCATGTGCCAGAGGGGGTGGGGATCCTGGGGATGTGCTGGGTGTTTGGGAGTCATGGATCCACTTCTTCCAGGGAGATTCGAGCTTCTCGGTCTGCTCCAGGAAGCTGTTTGAGGCTTGGGAAGGTGGGTGGTGGGGAAAGGGGCTGGTAGGAAACAGATGATGTGTGGAAGGCACCAACCATGGCTTCTCCCTTCCGCCCCCTGCCCTCCACTGGGTCTGGGCCTTCCAGGGACACCTGAGGGCAGCGACTGATCCGTGACCTCAGACCAGTGGAACTGAGCACAGAACCAGGCCAACCAGCTGCCCATCAGTGCCGTTGTCCCCATGGTTTAGTCCTACCCATAAACTGCTGGGAATCGGGTCCGGTCTCCAGCCTGGCTTCCTT